GTTGCTCTGGCTGGCCTTGAACTCCTGGGCTCAACTGATCCTCCCACCTCAGCCTCCCAAGTAGCTGGGATTACAGGTGTGTGCCACTGTGTTTGGCTAAAAATAGGCTTTTAAATCCTGCTATGATCTTACTCTCATCTTCTGTAAAACAGTAATAATCCTCACCAATTGTATCAGTCTGTTTGCACACTGCTATAAAGAACTACCTGAGACTGGGCGCGGTGGCTCACGCCTGTAATCCCAGCACTTTGGGAGGCCAAGGCAGGCAGATCATGAGGTCAGGAGATCAAGACCATCCTGGCTAACATGGTGAAACTCTCTGTCTACTAAAAATACAAAAAATTAGCCAGGCATGATGGCAGGTGCCTGTAATCCCAGCTACTTAGGAGGCTGAGGCAGGGGAATCACTTGAACCTAGGAGGCATAGGTTGCAGTGAGCCGAGATTGTGCTACTGCGCCATTGCACCCCCAGCCTGGGCGACAGAGCGAGACTCAGTCTCAAAAACAAAAAAACAAAAAAACAAAAAAACAAAAACCAAAAACCAAAAAACTGACTTGAGACTGCGTAATTTATGAAGAAAAGAGGTTTAACTGACTCACAGGCTTAACAGGAAGGATGACTGGGAGGCCTCAAGAAACTTACAATCACGGTGGAAGGTGAAGGGGAAGCAACGACCTTCTTCACATGGTGGCAGGGGAGAGAGACAGAGAGCAATGGAGGAAGTGCCACATTTTTAAACCATCAGATCTTGTGAGAACTCTATCATGAGAACAGCAAGGGGAAAGAGCACCCCATGATCCAATCACTTGCCACCAGGCCTTTCCTTCAACATGTGGGGATTACAATTTAACATGAGATTTGGGTGGGGACACGGAGCCAAACCATATTACCAATTTTGTAGAGTGGTTGTGAAGGTGAAATGAAAACTCCTTGAGGGCTGGACTATGCCTCACACCTATAGCATAATGTCCACAGCACCTGATTTAATAATTTGCACACAGAAGGAGATTAACTAAATATTTGCTAAATATTGAGTGAATAAAAGATCTGAGAGTCAAAAACCTTAGCTGAAAATTTCTCTGCTTACCAAAAACTCCATAGAAAAAAGTAGTACTCGGGAAGGCTTTCTTGGAGTATAGATAGTTCACACATTTCTCTAGTTACTATAAAGTCCATCCCTTAATCAGAAAAAATGTATTATTTGGGCCTTTGCAGGGATGATTTTATTATATTGTGCTTTAGCCTTATGACGTTTAAAAAGTTTTAAGGTGCTGTCATACATAACTTGCCATTGTCACAGTAGCTATTAGATATAGTTGGGATTTGTATTCACCACATTGCACAGCTCACTCTTGAATAGGAATACAGGAAACGTTGCTCTAAAATCTCAGTGCTAGAAAATGTGGAAACTTTCTGAGAAACTAGCCTTTAGATCTGATGTTATGCACAAAGTAAAACTTGTAAACTATCATATTTTCCTTTGTTTTGGCCCAAGATAAGTATAGAACAGATTTTATGGTACATGTGGAACAAACGTACAGCACCCTATCACACAGATTTGGTACCTATGCTAGATTATCTGTTGTCAACGTGTTAAGTCTTATCTTTGGCATTATCTTCCTTTGTCGTTTTCCTTTATTTCTATATCTATTCTTTCTTAATCCCTTTTAATTGCATGTATTCATCATGTAAGTTTCTTGAAGCTGATTTTGGAAAGAATAAGTACATATATAAATTAATAAAACAGGGGAGATCTTTGCTGTTGTTTGTTTTTCCTTCAGAATAGCCTTTCACCTTATTAGGGCCAATGACCAGATCAATATGCTTTTCTAGATTTTTGATTTCATTCCAACAGTTATTGCACAGCAAAATGAGGCTAACCATTAAGGAATTTCCCTGCAATCAAGGTGATTTGACTGTTCAATACTTCTTTTTTTCTAAAGGATCTTAGAATATTGAAGATAATAAAAACAATAAAAGTACTCTTGTTTTTCAATGTAATTATATGGGTTAGGATTTCCAGTTAGAAGACAGGTAGTGTTGCTGTGAAAAGTCAGGTGACCTGGCTTCTGATCCAGATTATGTGTTCAACCAGTTTGGTGACCATAGGTAAACCATATAATCTTTCTGGGTCTTAGTTTCTTCAGAGGTTGCACAATACCAGCTTTTCCCAAACAGTGGTTTGTGATACACTAGGATGCCATGATATGTTAATTGTTGTTCCATTAAAAAAAGGGGCAAATAAGTTTAGACAAGATTGGACTAAATGAAAATAAACCGTTTCTTAATGCTGGGATTTATAAGAGCCTTTGTGACACTTGGTTGAGGGAGAATAGAGTGCATAGTATTATCCAAACTTGCCTTTTATGGGAGCATATCAATAGAAAAATTTAAGTAATGACTAGGTGCAAAATATAACCTGTCCTCTCTCCCACTGTACCCCAACCTCTCACATGTTAACAGCTGGAATATATATATTGAATTATGCAAAAAGGTGTGGACAGGGTCTTCTGTAAGATGATGGACTTTATCTACATTTAGAAAGAGAGAAAGTTTCAGCTCATGGTAAATTAGGTAAATCATCAGATGAAATTACATATGCTGCCAAGCTCTAGATCCAGAACATTGAGTTAATTGGGTACCCTTGACATTTTGGCAAGCCAGTATGGTTGACGATATACTAATACACAGATACACACACACAAACACACACAGAGCAAGAGTGTGCATGTGTGAACAACAGCATAAAGCAGCAAGAATCCTAAACTATATTGCTTGAAATAGCTTAAAAGGATAGTGACTAATCTCTCCCTTATCTAAACTTCTGTGAAACTTGGCATATATGACTCCTATAGACACAATGATATATGGCTTTGTACTGGAATGGAGTATGAGAAAGAGCTTTATAGTCATAAAGTCCTGGATGAGAATCTCAGCTGTTCTCATTTCTGTACATGTAACTCCTCAATGAACTTCAGTTTTCTCACTTATAAAGATAAATCTCTAACCCTGTAGCTTGTTTTAATGGTTAATTGATAAGCATATGTAAAGCAGCTAGCAGATTACTTAGTACACAGAAGACACTCAACAAAATATTTTTTACCTTCCATTATTGATAGTCCTCAGAGTACAGAGACTAGGGTTTGTCAGGCACAATATCTTATATGTATGTGATACATACTCATAAGAGTTTTGACATGAATAAACTTTAATTTCCAAACAGTTAAGTTTCACATATCTTTCAAGACCTGACTCCAATATTACTTCTTCTGTACATTGTCTGATTATCTCAGCTGTAAAAAATTTTTTCCTTTGGCCTTGAACTCTCTAAGTATTTTGCTTTTATTTCTATGTCATTTAGCACATTTTTTCTTCATTTCCTGTTACTCCTAGACAGCCTGTATTTTCCCTCTAAGATGTAATATCTTCTTATAGGCAGAAAACATTTTATTATCCTGTTTCCCTTGCAGTGCTCAGCACAGGTCTTCTTCAAAAAACATTTGTTAAACAAGTGAAAGTGGTGGCATACTTTGACTGAGAGTAGTAACTAACAGAGTTTTCCTCAACCCCAGTTAGGGCCCTTCAGGCCTTTCCATTGCTTGTTAGATGGCTTCCTCTTTTTATAAGTCAATCTTGCCATTAATCCTACATCTAAAAAAAAGTTCTGAATGTTCTTTTCTACGAAGCCAGCCTGAGAAGTCATTCGACCCCCATTCTGTTTGTGCCTACTGTACCTTAGGCATACCTCTATAATAATGTTTACATATAGTATTATAATTCTATTTTTTTTTTTTTTTTTTGAGACGGAGTCTTGCTCTGTCACCCAGGCTGGAGTGCAGTGGCCGGATCTCAGCTCACTGCAAGCTCCTCCTCTCGGGTGCACGCCATTCTCCTGCCTCAGCCTCCCGAGTAGCTGGGACTACAGGCACCCGCCACTTTGCCCGGCTAGTTTTTTGTATTTTTTTAGTAGAGACGGGGTTTCACCGTGTTAGCAAGGATGGTCTCGATCTCCTGACCCCGTGATCCGCCCGTCTCGGCCTCCCAAAGTGCTGGGATTACAGGCTTGAGCCACCGCGCCCGGCCTATAATTCTATTTTTATAAGAGTAGGAACTTCTGGAGGGCAGGATCCATGTCTGCATCACTGTTCCCTAACAGATTTGGGGCACATAGTACATATCCCAAAAATGTTTGCAAAATGAGTGAATGAAAAATCCTCTATATTGCTATGGACATGACATGAACTCAGAAAATCTATGAAGCTAAGTGAATTTCCCACATTTGGGGGCTAAAAGCAAAATGTTACGAAAGTAACTCACAGTATCTTTTGGTGGGTAAAGTGAAGCCTGTGAAAGGGAGTAGAGATATAATATTTCTATTCTTAGGGTGAAACAACACTTAGGAAGGATGAGAAATATTTGTCAACAAATATCTGTTGGCAACAAAAGGGGAAGATTATAGAAAATCATGAATCTAGTACAAGATCAAGTTTTCTAAGAGTTCTATACAACAGATCAGGAATGATTAAGAAAATGTTAGGTCTTCCATACTAAAATGAGTCTAGGAAAAGTAGAGAGAAATAAGTTGTAAGAAATATTAACAGTTTCGCAGCTGGGCGCAGTGTCTCACATCTGTAATGCCAGCACTTTGGAAATCCAAGGCGGGCGGATCACTTCAGGTCATGAGTTTGAGACCAGCCTGGCCAACATGGTGAAATCCTGTCTCTACTAAAAATACAAAAATTAGCCAGGCATGGTGGTGGGCGCCTGTAAACCCAGTTACTTGGGAGGCTGAGGTGGGAGAATCACTTGAACCTGGGAGGCGGAGGCTACAGTGAGCCGAGATGGTACCCCTGCACTTCAGCCTGGGTGCCAGAACGAAGACTTCATCTCAAAAAAAAAAAAAAAAAAAAAAGAAAGAAAGAAATATTAACGCTTCAGTATCAAATACAGTGGAAATACAACCCACTTTTGAATAACTTTTCTTGAAATTATGCCCCACCTCACGTTCCTCTTCTTGTTCTTTGCGAATCTGCTCCAAACGAAACTGTTCTGCCATCTCTCTCTCATGAGCTTCCCTCTGTTGATAAAACAGAAAAGGAACAAGCACTTAACACAAACTTGTTTACAAAGAAAGAAAGAGAGAAATAAGGAAAGAGAAAGAAGAAAAGAGGAAAGAAAGAAAAAGTAAGTTACATTCAAAGGCTCATTGTCAACATGACTCAGAGGTATATTGTGGTAACAGAAACGTTTCTTTCTACAAGAATGGAAAGCAAAAACAAAGCATAGGTCTCTGATAATGTTAGGTTCCTATTCAAACACCTTTGATAGCTCTGAGTAAAGTGGCATTCAAGATCCTTCAGGACATCCTTTGGTCTTCCTTTCTGGCCTTTCCTATCTGCCCTGTACCCAAATCTAAAGCTATTTAATCAGCTTCTATCCATTTTCCATGCATTCTGGACCCTTGATGCTAGCTTATATTGCTTCCTCTTCCCTCCTACTGCTCTTTTTCTGTCCAGTTCACATATACCATCTCCTCTTTGAAACATTCCCAGTATAGTCCCACTCCCTGGCTCTCCAAAAAAAATAAAATCTGGAAAAAAGTTTCCACTGAAACTCCTACTCACTGAACTCTCACAGAACTCAGTGCTTCCCTTATGACACTTAGGATTCTTGGCTTATGTTACAGCTGCTTGTGTTCTTTACTTAATCAACTCTACCACATTGTGAAACTTCCTTTGAGAGCAGAAACTGTGGCCTATTCATTCACCTCTCCTTCAAAGCTCAACACAAAAGCAGGTACTTAAGAAGTATTCAATAAATCAATAGTTCCCAACCCTGACTACACATGAGAATCACCTAAAGAGCTTTCTAAAAATTCCTGGGTTCTATCATAGACCAACTAAAAAACAAATGAAATAGATACTAGGTTCATCTTTGTTTTCATTTTTCATGAAACAAACTTTATTTTTGTCAAAATGAACCATGCTTTAATAACCGTGGATAGGATTATATTCTTTCTGTTAACTAAATCTAGCTTTCTCTATTGCAAACCCAATATTTTTAGGGATCAAAGTGATAAAGGGTTGGCATTTAAATAATGAACAATTGAGTTATTTATCGCAGAAGTACCTGACCAAGCCTACCTTTGCTCTGTCAGCCTCAAGTGAAAGGCGATACGCCTCATCTTGCTCTCTCTTCACATTTTCTCTGGCTTCACGTTCATCCTTAAAGAAAAAGATTGAAGCATTTTTTGACATATTACTATTTTTTTTTGAAAAAAAGAGAAAAAAACTAATGGTAATCCTCTTTTTTTACTCCTATATGAACTTACAATTAAATAAGAGACTTTTAAAGTGTATAGGACATAAATAAGCAAATAAACAGTAAGATGAGCAGCATGGTACATAGTGGAAATAAGAATATTTGAATCCTAACTCTATAAACTGTGTGACTTTGTATAAGTTATTTAACTTCTGCAGGTCTCAGTCTCCTCACTTGCAAAACAGAAATAATATTTGTCTTACAGGGTCACTGTGAGAATTAAGTGCAATAATATATAAACTATCTAGCAAAGGACCTGGCACTTAGTTCATTTTCATTATTAGTTCTCTTCTCCCTTTCTCCTGATTTTTCTGAGATAAACTTGGAGACTGTCAGTATTGGAACTAAGGACTGAGAGGGAGAACAAAGACTAGGAAGTAATCCCTGGATCAGTGTAGAAAGAGGCCGAAAGCAAAATACTCTGGTTAACCCCATTCCATACCACACCACACCACACCACTAAAGCTCTGGTTACCAGTTAAGTATTTCCCCATTACATTCACACTCATGAAGTGTGAATAACAAAAGTTATCTAAGTTGAAAATCTCTTAGAATATTTTTAGCTTCTGAAGTGATTATACCATCTGCCCATATTTAAATCACGAATTCATTTAAAATTAAAAGTTAATTCATGAACAGAATTTCTCATCTGTTATAGTCAGAAGTATAGACGATATATACATATATACGTAACTTTAATAATAAATACCTACACCTGTCCACACTAGGGTGTAGGTTCCCTTTTTGGTCATTTATTTATTAGGCAGAACCATATAAAGTCACCAATATTTGTGACCTATAAAACTGGAAATTTCATAGCTAATTTCTCACTTTTTGTCTCCCCAATATATGCTTACTCAAGGCTGAATATATGCTCAGCATTCTCTTAGGTGAAATACCTAATCAAGACTGGCCTTATTCCTGAAGCCTAATACATTTTCTAGTTCCGATAATTCAATTAATTCTTAAAAGCTCTGGTATGAATAGGAACATTTCATTGCTTCCTAATCTTTCAAATAAAAATTAGAAAGAATTAGATGTTGCTGGCCTGAAGCTAATTGCTATAGTACAAAATAAGAAAAACCATGTTAAAACTGATGTCTACCCTTTCAGACGTCTAAAAAGGATTAAACTTTTTTTTTTATTTGAGGGGGAATCTTGCTCTGTCACCCAGGCTGGAGGGCAGTGGCGCGATCTCTACTCACTGAACCTCAGCCTGCTGGGTTCAAGTGATTCTCCTGCCTCAGCCTCCCGAGTAGCTGGGATTACACGCACCCAGCATCATGCCCAGCTAATTTTTGTATTTTTAGTAGAGATGGAGTTTCACCATATTAGCCAGGCTGGTCTCGAACTCCTGACCTCAAGTGATCTGCCTGCCTTGGCCTTCCAAAGTGCTAGGATTATAGGCGTAAGTCACCACGCCCAGCCAAGGGTTAAACTCCTAAGGATCCTATGCCTCTGTGGATAAGTCTATCTTTTCAAATTTAGATATCTCTTGAATGTAATCAACCAACTATGAGAATAATCTTACCTTTCTATATTTTAAATGGGGGAAATGCACAAGATGTTTAAAATTTTAATTTGACCTTACTTTCCTGACTTCACCCTTTCAAGTTATTTAAAGCTTCTCACAACATTCTGTACTTTCCCTCTAAAGCACTTACCATAACTGTAATTCATTATCATGTAATTATTTATTTAATGTGAAACTACCCCATGACACTGTAAGCTCCACAAAGGCAGAGAACTTGTCTATATTACATATGTCTGTATTCCACATACTGCCTAGTCTTTGGGAGGTGTTTAATAAGCATATGTTAAATAAATGAATTATCTTTCCAGGCATAAAATACTTATTGTCTACAGCAAAAATTAAAGAAAAAGATATAGCTCATCTACAAAATGGCTGGCCCAATCTGAGTCTGAAATTGACTGGTTGGGCAGGAATGACTTGTTATGCCACTATGTACACATAAAAAATGGACCTTCTAAAAGCAATCACAGCTGGAAGCCCTTTGATCACAAATATGGTTTATAATAAAAGCATTCTAAGTAAACAGCTCTGCTGAAAAACAGACTACAGCAGATATGAAAGGCCATCAAATACAGGGATCTCTGCCACGAAATGTGGCACCTGGTGTATGTTCTTTACCTTGCTCACAGCTCTTCCTGACCATCCTGATAGATGGGCTGGCTTCGGCATGTGGCTCAGGATGAATTTTCCTAAATTTATCATGGTCATAACTTCTTGTATGTTTGGTAGTTGTTGGTGAATAGTTATCATTTCTTCTTATCTGCTCCTCAGATTTTATACTTGCCTCTCCAACTGTCCTCTTCAGAGTCATCTCCAGTTTTGAGAAAGAAAACTGCTTATGTGTTTCCCCCATATTATTCTACATTATTAGATTTTTTAGAAAATCCCAGGTATTGTAGTTAACACTTAATGTATAAATTTGTTCTCATAACCTGTAGATTTGCCTCTGGAACTTATCTTGTGTCCTACAAATATTGTCCTTGTAGAGGTTCCCTTTGCTAAATCTAAGAGGGCATACCAAAGTAACTAGAAATTTTTACACATTGATTGGGTGGAGGTAGAACCGCTAGATTATGAGATTCAGAAACAGGTCTTAAGTGTTGCCTAGACTATGGCTTGGGTTACTTGTTATTCAAACACTCCTTGTCACACCAAAGTGAGAAGTTGGATTGCTCAGAAGTAAGTAATGGCCCCAGTAGGTAGCTTTCTTTGTAACATACTTGTCACTGCTCTCATATTGTGCTGTGCTACACTCATTTGTGTATTTGTCTCACTGTTCCCTACCTGAGCTGTACACTCCCGGGGTAAAAGACTCTATTTCATATGTCTTTGTATTTCCTATAGCATCTAGTGTACTATCTTACATATGACAAGCATCTAAAATATATATTTGTTGGATAAATAAATGGAATTATCAGTGCTCAACAGTTATATACCAGAAATTCAGGAGCCTGTAAGTATTCTTCAATCTAGTAACTTTTATTTAAATATATTTTCTATCCTGAGTATTATAATGAGTTAGGAAGTACCAGACCTATAATTTACTTATTTTTAGTTAAAAATATTTTTTGGAGTACATAGTAGGTCAATGTATTTATGGGATATGGGAGATATTTTGATACAGGCATGCAATGGGTATTAATCACATCACAGAAAATGGGGTGTCCGTCCCTTCAAGCATTTATCCTTTGTCACAAACAATCCAGTTAGAAGTACAATTATTTTGACTATAGTTACCCTATTGTGCTATCAAAGGCTGGTATTATTCACTGTTTCCATATTTTTTGTACCCATTAACCACTACACCTTCCCCCTAACCACAGACCTTCTCCCACACCCCACTGCCCTTCCTAGCCTCTGGTAATCATCCTTCTACTCTCTATCTCCATATGTTTAATTGTTTTGATTTTTACATCCTACAAATAAGTGAGAACATGTAACGTTTGTAGTTCTGTGCCTGACTTATTTCACTTAACATAATGGCCTCCAGTTCCATCCATGTTGTTGCAAATCACAGGATCTAATTCTTTTTTACAGCTAAATAGTACTCTTGTGTATATGTACCATTATTTTCTTTATCTATTTGCCTATTGATGGACATTTAGGTTGCTTCCAAATCTTGGCTACTGTGAACAATGCTGCAACAATTATATTAGTACAGATATCTCTTTGATATACTGATTTCCCTTCCTTTGGGTATATACCCAGCAGTGGGATTGCTGGATCATATGGTAGCTCTATTTTCAGTTTTTAAAGGAACCTCTACACTGTTCTCCATGGTGGCTGTACTAATTTACATTCCCACTAACAGTGTACAAGGGTTCCCTTTTCTCCACATCCTCTCCAACATTTGTTATTCCCTGTTTGGGGGATAAAAGTCAGTTTACCTGAGATGAGATGATATCTTACTGTAGTTCTGATCTGTATCAGAATTAGAATTTAAATATAGTCATTCTCACCATAAAGCCTGTTTTTTCCCCACTGTGGCACACTAGGTAGTTCAGCATAGTCCTCTATCTCCGAGACAATAGCCATTGAATTTTACTACAATTCACTGAAAATGATGTCTATTAAAAATAAAATATTTTATGAGTTGCCAAATGGTTCCTAAAGTAAGAATTTAACAAAAAAATGAAATTTAGATGTAATTTATTACACCCTCAGTAGTGTTAAAGATTAATAATCATCAGTTAATTCCTAAAAGACTAATTCAAAATTCCGAATTATCAAACTGAAGTGGCTATAGACTTTTTTCAAATACTTAGCAAATGCATATACACATAGAACATTTACTGGTTTTCTGAATGCCCAGGTTAGAATGCATACTCTGCTCCTTGCTCTACCAATAGGTCCTTGTCAACAGAGACATGGCCCTGCTATCTATCTCTAGAGATACAGATCAAGATAACCTGAAGTTCTCTCAGTATAAATACTTACAGATAATAGGTAAAATATAACAAATATGTTCAAAAGTATTACTAAGCATATCAGAAAGAAAGAAAGAAAGAGAAGTTTCTAGGTACCAGAAATAAAGAGGAAACTCAAAGTGAGAGATATAAATGATGAGGTAATTCAGAACCTGACAAGGTAGGTCATCCATCTTGATAACCTAGAAGCCCCACTGTGATCAGAGATCTCATTTTGGACTTAAGCAAGGTGAGGAGGTATAAAAGTCATCTCTGGAGACCAGACGCAGTGGCTCATGCCTATAATCCCAGCCCTTGGGAGGCCAAGGCGGGTGGATCACCTGAAGTCAGGAGTTTGAGACCAGCCTGACCGCCATGATGAAACATGTCTACCAAGTACAAAAAATTAGCTGGGCATGGTGGCATATGCCTGTAATCCCAGCTCTTTGGGAGGCTGAGGCAG